GCTTTGATCTACTTCTCTAGTTGCTCTTGGCAAAAATCTTGCCCCACTTCTCAGTTTCCCGCTGATTGTGCAACAAACATAGTTAAGGTGGTATGAGGTTATCTGTGGGAATACATCTGTGTGTTCCTTCTGGTTGGCATCGCTGTGTTCTGTGCTCATCCAAATCGGGCTGTATCCTCCAACTTAACTCTTTGGAAGATGAGCTTACTACTTTGCCTTCTGCCCATCTAGAATGGGAATTACAGATTGAGCCTATGCTAGGGAACAGAGTAAACTTCCTCAGAGAAATCAGGGTCATAAAATAATAACCAGTTACTTGACTAGCATGAAATGGGTCTGTGTTGCTTAATTTCTTTCTTTTTTTTTCCCTAATAGGTTCTGCCCATACCTCTTGAGAGAATGCAGAATTACCTTTTTCAGGTGTAATATTGAGAGTTTGTAACAGCTGTGGAAAAGGCAGAGCATCATTTACTTTTATAACTCTTTTGAAAGAAGTAGTCTTACCATGTCTCTGCTAAACAGGGCTAGACACCAGCTATTTATGTATTAGAGACACTTAGTATTAACTATTTGGATTCATGAACTTCGTCCCTTCATACCATTAATTAATGGCAAGATTCCTAGGTTTACAGAAAACACATGACTTTGAATTAGTATTTGTAACTAAATGTGCAGTGAAAATATTCTGACTGTGTATAGTGTTTATTTTCCCTTCCTTTTCAAGATGTAGTATTTGCTTAAACTAATGGGCGAAGGCCTTCAGAAGTAGCTATTTCAAACTACGCATCAGAGGCTGTCATCGCATTAGAGCCTTAATCAGAAAACAAGGGATTGCGCTTGAGCTCAGGCTTTGCTTCTAGGAAAGTTGCATTTGCAGTATAGTAATCACATAGAAGCTTTGTACTATGTACTTCAGTATGAAAATTGCTCATTTCCTGGTAGCTGGAGAACACATCCATGCTCACTAAGTGAATAACTACCTCTAGTGGTGGCTGTGGTGGGTGCAGCAAAGACCAGACCCCCACTATCTGACTGGTGTAGTTGATGTAAAAACTTGGATTTACCTCCTCTTGTTCAAAGCCTTCTGGGCTTTCAGGACAACTTTCACTAGGACATCGAATGTAGAACTGCTGTGCTTTGTGGTTGCATATGAATCATTACAAGACTTCAACTCAAGGACTTCTGCTTCATCTTCAGTGGCTTAAGAGGTTTTCAGCTTTTTTTTCTGTCTAGACTACTATATTCTTCAACCAGAATTCTAAAACATATATACTGTGCAATTCAGAAACTTTCAGTCTTTCAGTATCTTTGATACTTCCATGTGGAGTGTCACTTTGTAATTCACAGCACTTCCAGTGTGCCAGAGTGACCCTTTGTTTCAGTCTGTGATATGCAGGTTTACCTGCATCCATCTCCAGTACTTGTTTGAATTTAAAGCTCTCTCTTCTGTTCTGGAATCACCTTTAAGGTGATACTGAATAGGCTTTTACTGAGAATTTTTTGAACCGTATGTCTTTTTTCCATGATCTCCCTCCCCCACCCAAGTTACTTTTGCACCATTCATTAATCTGTAGGGGTTGTAATACCTGATCCCGTAGTAGTAATTCAATGTTGGAGTCAGGAGCTCAGCCTGATTTGTATTTGTAGCTTGAAGACTGATTCCTAGGATTTGAAATGTGCCTTATGTACTTCTGCCTCAGCTTTTTTTTGCTAGTCCTGAAGTCTTGTCGCAAGAAGGTACAGTCTGTATTAACCTTTGTAGATAGGCTGGCTATTAGCACACTAATTAGCACACACTCAGTTGTTGCTACATACCAAATCATTGGGCAAGCTTGGTTATTAGAAACCTAAATTGGATTCCATATACTAGGCTTTAGCTTCCTGGCTGTATTAATTTCATCAGCAAGTGTGTCATGCTGCTGTGATAGTGTTCTGGTAGTCTTAAAATGAGCATATGATTGAAAGCAAGATGTCTTGTTTACTGTTGAAGGTTTTGGCCTTGTGCTCTGCAGACTGGCCAGTGTTCTTTGAGACACAGGGAAGAATACAGGATGTGCATCATTTGCATTAAGCTGCCGAGCTGCTCTTAACTATCTGTGTGTAAAGTGCTGTAGTGTGAATGGGTTTTTGTGAAGTGTGCTTTCGCACATACAGGTTTCCTTCCTAAATTGTGCACTATAGTTACTGAGCTAATGTGATACAAAGTACAATAGTAACATAAAATAGTTGTAGAGCTAAGCTACAGATGCTGAGTAGCACAATCTAATCTGTTCCACTGGATTGAGAAAAAGCTTGAACTAATTCACTGTTAAGTTTTTGAACTGTCTAGTTAAAGCTAGTTGTGACTCTGCACTGTTAATTTGCTTCCTCTTAACTGTAGGCTGTTACATTGTGTGGATGTCTTAATGTAGCTAATGCCTAGTGAAAGTGGTTGAGGATTCCTTGCATGGTATAGGAATATAATCTATTTTCATTTTTCTTTAAGTTATTCCTTATTGACTTTGGTTTGGCCAAAAAGTACCGGGACAACAGGACAAGGCAACATATACCATACAGAGAAGACAAAAATCTCACTGGCACAGCTCGATATGCCAGTATCAATGCACATCTTGGCATCGAGCAGAGGTGAGTTCAAGGAGACAACAGTTGTACGTTTGGAGGCTGCAAGATGATCTTATTTGTAAGCTTCTGAAGTGTCTGAACTAATTCTATATAAGTGTATATATCCCTTTGCAAGTGCCTTTCTTTTGGGCTGCCTCTGCAAGGGTAGAGGAGGGGGAAAAATCCAGATACCTAATTTATATCTTGAAGAGAGTCGAAGTCTTGCAGGCATGAGGTGAATGCTCTGCACAGTATTTCAGTGTTGTGTTTTTTTAAGGATAAGCTATGCTTTCATGTGGATCTGTTAGAGGATCTTCACAAATAAAATGGTAAACTTTCCTGATTGTGTTGGTATCTGTTGATACCACTGCTGACCAGCTTGAGATGCAGTTCTGTAGCCAGAGTGTATTCTAAAGTTGATGTCTGTGTCCTGTTTTCTCACTCTCCCTTCAAGTTAGTAAACTATTGTTTATCCTCCTTTTGCCTGCAAGCAAGACTTAAAGGTCTTCTGCTTCACTAATACTGTATTTTGGTTTCTGGTATACACAGCCGTAGTTGTGGCTCTGTATGTATGTGTTTGCGTGTGTGTATATATATATGCTTGAGCTTTGTTTAATCAACAAACCCATTTTTATCATCTGGATCAAAATCATATTGCTACTACAGTATCTTAGCAGTCATCCAGTGGAGATGCACTTCCAAACAATCTAAAGTGCTATGTGGGCATTCATGAGATGAAGTGATGCCTCTCTCCTCCTTCCTTACCTACGCCTAGGTGTTGTAATGTACAAGTGTAATTGTGTGGCTTTACCACATGATGCTGAGGTGGCTTAGACATAGTTAAAACTTACATGAATGTCTGTGCCTCTGACCTTCAATTTAATCAAGATGAGAATGACAGAATTTCTAGTGGTCGCCTTCAACAGAACATGTAACTTAAAAATATTTAGTGCTTTAAAATGCTCCATGTTTCTTCTTTGCTTTATTTTCCTTAAGTGTATTTTTTTGTCTGTCAGTGTCATTATTTAAGCCTACTTGACATGTGGGTCAAGTAGGGTAAATGACAGGTGTCATTTCTGAAGTAAGTACATTCCATAGAACCCAAGCCATACTGGTAAGGGAATAGCTGTACTAGCACCTTACAGTGCAGGGGGGGGACTGCAAAGGACTATTGCTTTTGAATTTGGTTGGAGGTCTTGTATCATCTCTGCTGCTACTGGGAATTCTGATATAATTAGAAACGTAGCTTGGTGCATGCTAAAAGCTATTAAACTGTCTAGATCAAGCCAACAGTGAGGCAAGCAAATAAAATATTCCTGTAATCAAGAGAAACCAGTCCTCCAGCTTATGGCAGAATATTTCAACTGTTAGTGCTATACTTTTAACTGTTGTAGGGCATGTTTTCCTACATGTAACGACAGCTATTCTTGAGCTGTTTGCAATGTAATTCATTTCTTGTTTTAGTAAGAGAGAGTATTGTCTTGTTTTCCAGATCCTGAAAATCACTTTTATCAGTATATGCTCAAATGTAATATATTCATTACAGATTTACAGAACTAAATATTTCCTACTAAACAAATAATGAAATTAAACATTAAAACAGCGAACTGGATGGAGGATGGAAACTATTAATCCCTTTATTTCTTCTGACTTTACCTCTGCCTTCTCAGAAAATGTAATTTTGTCATGGCCCCATACCGGTTCACTGAATCCTGTTGATGACTAAAATTTGCAATTCTAATAGACTTAGCAAGTTTTGCAGACTGGAGTTTGTGGTCTTAGTATCATTTTTCATCCCTCTGTCTTCGGCTACGGTTTCATGTTACAGCTGAGATGACCTCAGAGCTAGCTGCTGTCAAGAGGAGAGAACCAATCTTCTCTTCCCTGACCCCTGGGCACAGCTAGTGCTTTATTGTCCTTGTGGTGAAATGGTTTAGGGGGCCAAGCTGATTGCCGAGATAATTTTCTTCTGGGATAGCTCCCTGAACTGGTTTCCCAGTGGTTCAGAGAGCTGGAATATGGGTTGAGGGAGTGACAGGCAGGCCGTTCTGGTGATTGTTAGTGGTTATATTGGGTTGGCTGTAACATAATGCATCACCTACAACTGCTTTCCTCTGATACTAAGATTGGAGGTAGATCTGTCCAGGTTCTTACAGATAGTTCTCACTTCAAGGGAGCTGTTCTGCCCTCACCTGTACGTGTAATCCTATTTGCAGTACTGCTTTCAGCCTTTTACTCACTTGTGGGGGTAGTAGGTATGTAGTCTTTCCTGCCACCATTTAAATACTTTTCTTGCAGATCTGCCTGGGTGGCAATGCAGCAGCAATACCTGTCAGGGTCTCTTAAAAATGGAGCTGGGAGGAGAAAAATAAGTTCTCTTTCTGTCTCATGTTAAATAGATGTCAGCTGCAGAGGGGCAGTCAGGAAAGATCAGATTCTACCGCAGCTGAGAAGAGGCAACTTTGCCAAGAGGAAAAAAATCATGGAGCATTGTTTCCACTTCAGTGAACTGTACTAGCCTTAGTAATCATGAAAGCTGTGTAGCAAAGTATGGTGGTGTGTTTGGCTACAGTGTGGATCTGGAGCATATGCAGTACAGAAAACATTTGAGCATATACAAATTCTAAGTGAAGTCTATGGATCAATAACTTTGGAGTTCTCTAGCTACCTTGACACAGACTTCTTGTAGGAAGAAAGGAGAGGCATCTCTTAAAGATCCGTGCACTTTTCTCAATGTTACTTCTTTTAAAAATCACCAAGGCAAATCAGAGTTCTTTAACAGAAGTTGAGAAAGAAAGGGAAAGAAACGAATTATGCCCTTTCAGGGCTAGATGTTCACTATTTGTTCCAGAATGAGGTAATATTCAGGGAGAAATCTTCCTTAATAAAGTTAAGGCTAACATCATGTATCTCTCTTACAATGCATTCCATGGTTCCTGCAGGTAAATCTTTAGTTTCTATCCAAGCTACTTAATTAAATGAGAAAGACATTTAACATTTAATTTTTTGTTTTACATTTCCCAAATTATTCTAATGTAACTGTGGATGGAAACTTACCACACAAAATACCTACTGACTATTCCTTGCTTGAAAAATAAACAGTACCTTCTTCCTGCTTGTGAAGACTTGTTACATGTCTACTAGTGGAATCCTGAACACCTGAAGGTCTTAGCTGTATTAGACAGAGACTTTCCTTTGCACCAAAGCTTAGGTTTTATTCCTTAATTGTTGTTTTTTTTTTTAATTTTGGTATGCTTGCACTGTTTGCAATAAAGTACAAAATGCCAACATTTGTAAATCATTGTGTTCTTTATCTTTCTCCAGTCGTCGGGATGACATGGAGTCTCTAGGCTATGTATTGATGTACTTTAACAGAACCAGTCTGCCTTGGCAAGGATTAAAGGTAGGTTATGTTGCTTTTTTTTCCCCCAGCCTTTGTTTTTTATGTTTGGATATCATGCTTCTGCCTGCTGGTCTGGACAGGTGCTTGTATATAATGTTTAGCTTCAGTTACACAAAGCAGCTTTTCCCAAGCCATGATATTTATAGAACATAGAGGAAAGGTTCTTTCTGCTTCTTGTGCAGCAGGCAAAATGTGTATTGTTTGACTGTCTTAAAATTTATGCTAAACAATAGCTTATTACATCAGCTTCGCAAATTATTGTCCTCTTGTAGGCTGAGGCCCTCTTTGGGAAGTAGAAAATAACATTGTTAGTGGCTTTTTGAATTGCTGTAGAGAATGGAAATAATCTCTTGCCTAGCAAGTTCAGCTTTAGTGATGTCTTCAGTTTATGACTGAGTAATTATTAGCTGCAACAGACCTGTTTCAAGTATTATCATGTATGGTAGCCAAGTACAAGCATGGCAAATATTTCTTATTTCTGTTATGTAGACTTCAGTGATTTGTTTTCATATTTTAATTGTTTTTCTTCCTCCATGTGAGAGTTGTGTAACTCAAATGGTGTTGCAGCTGCAAGTTTTCTAAAAAGGCAAGCAGCTTGTGGAACACTAGAACTCTTTAGCTGCAAATGAATGTAATGGCTGCGTACCGAAACACACAGGCAGTCCTTGAATAGGGTGCTGAGTGGGAATTAATAGAACTTTGGCAAATGGAAATGCAAGTCTGGTCTGTTTAATGGACAAAAGCAGCAGCTAGAACTACACGAGCTGTGCCATGTGATGGAAGCATTAGACTGCGACAAATGGTATTAAACTGTGTCCAAATCTTAATACCAGATTGACCTTCATTCTCTTTGCAATAAGTGTGTGGGACTTGGAGATTTCACATAAAATACTTACGGTTGACCAAAGGATTTTTGACAATTTTTTTTGCTACTGTCCTTGTTAATCCAGTGTTGCACAATATCTCTTATAATGTGACCTACATGTTCCACAGGCTGCAACAAAGAAGCAAAAGTATGAAAAGATTAGTGAAAAGAAAATGTCCACTCCTGTTGAGGTTTTGTGTAAGGTAAGAGTTTCCAAATGATGTCATACTGTGAAATGGAAGTTCTTTTCTTTCTTGTTTTTAAACTAGAGCCAATATATTAGTCTCACGTGGCATTTGCTGCTGAATAATACTTCTCTGGCAGTCATGGATGCCTTGTGTCTGGCCACCCAACAAGACTGTCAGTGTGTGAAACAGGGCAGGCATTCACTGCTGTTCTCTGGCATAGTTCATGCCATCTTTCCAGTTCTTCTGACTGTTGGCTGTGCAAGCTCTCAAGCTCCCTTAAGAGCGTGTTTATTTCTTCAGCTTCTACTGTGCAATGTCTACATGTGCCCTCTTGAATAAGTAAAACCAAGGTAGAGCTGTATAGCTTGCCCGTATATACTTGTTTCTGCCTCTTCAAGATTGTTCATTGTTTTAGTGGAATTGGATGTCAAATGATCTTTAAAGCCATGTCACAAAATGCTATTTTTCCAATGCTATCCTTTGGGTCTTAAGATTTCTCTTGAACTGTGGCAGCCACATGCTTGTTAACAAAGGACCTTGAGAACACGTGGTAATTTTGTACAACGAACAGCAGCATGAAGGACTGCACTTCCTAATCATGCACTTTATATACCCTTACAGTCTGACAACATCTTCCAAGCTGCTGAACTGTGACACTGTTTTCTTTCTTGTAGTATGGCACTATGCTGTACGCTATTACCTATTTGCATACAGGCTTTAATATAGCATTAAATGTATAAATATGTAAAGCAGGGAATCTTTGACAGTAGTCTTTCATGGTTTAAGTCTTCACACTTAATAGTTGTAACTGACCTTGCCTCCACTATACTCAAGTAGATTATCAAGGAAACATGAGTGGAATCTTTTAAGAGACAATTACTACTTATTTCAGAGTCCTAGTTAATAAGAACTAGGTTTAATTAGGATGGACGAAGTGCTTTAAATATGTTGTATGTTGAAGGGTTTGGTAGCAGAGGACTTGTGTTAGCAAAACGTGCATCATGTAACAATTCTGGGGAGAGAACTTGCTGATCAAATCCACTCTGAAGTACAGAATAAATTAATAATTAGTGGAAATCTCCAAAGTGGAATTTACACATAGGAATCTTCAGCCAGTTTTTCTCTGCCACTATAGACAGAAATACAGCTTTTTGCCTTCTTACAGGGTTGTTAGAAGCTTTTTGCTGCAAGCCATGGCTTGATTAACACTGTTGATTTACAGGGATTCCCTGCAGAATTTGCCATGTATCTGAACTACTGTCGTGGCCTGCGCTTTGAAGAGGCACCAGATTACATGTATCTGAGGCAATTATTCCGTATTCTTTTCAGGTCAGTCTCGAAGTGGAAAAGTACAGAAATTTGTCAGTGCTTTATCAGTTTGGTAACTGCTCTGTGGGACTTGCACTGCAGAAAGCTACTCTGTATATGTGTGGTGTAGGGAGTTCTGGGACTTTATTTCCATTTCAGAGTTTGAAATGCTGCTTAAAGGACCTGAAAAATACTGTTCAATGTTAAACATGAAGAAAAATATTATCTTGGTTTTGAGTTGCATGATCTGACCACTAATGCTAGAAGGTTGTGCCCATACTTCCAGTTCAGTTGCAGGTAGCTTAAGAAATGCACACTATGATGGAAGTGTTTGGAGATTAGTGATGGGACTAGCAGTGGTGCCCCAGAGATGGATTTCAATGGAGGGGAATAGTGCTGTTTCATTGAGCTTGTTAGAGAAACCAGAACATAAACTCAACCAAAAACTTCTTCAAAGAAGAGCTGATACTGATCTCTCAAGAGTCCCTCCAGGTTTCTGGAATCCAAAGCAATTTTTATTTTATGATCTACAATACTGCAGTCTCTCCTTAAAACTATATATTTTAAAAAAAACCAAACCCACCGAAACTGAGAACCTTAGTGCAAGCAGATAAGATGGGTTGTGAGGAAGTGCTGCTTCTACAAATGCAGACTTTTGTTTAAACAGTAAAGAAAATGCTGCTTGATGATATTTGGGCTTACTTCAAGAATCCCTTTAAGTTAGTAATAGCATTTATATACAATTCATAATCTCCAAAGCAGCTTACAAAAAGAATTAACCTCTAGTTCAGAGTTTTCAGCAAAAGCTTGGTGTTAGCAATGAGGAATGAGGATGTGTTACAGTAAAATATTTCACTTTTTTTCCTAGGACCTTGAACCACCAATATGACTACACATTCGACTGGACAATGTTAAAGCAGAAAGCAGCACAGCAGGCAGCCTCTTCCAGTGGGCAGGGGCAGCAGGCCCAAACCCCCACAGGCAAGCAAACTGACAAATCCAAGAGTAACATGAAAGGTTAGTAGCCAAGAACCAAGTGACGTTACAGGAAAAAAAAAATTACACTAATTTGGACAATGTCAGCGACTTAAGTGTTAGATCAAGGAGGTGGTTTAAAAAATCCATTTGGCTGTTAATTTAAAAAGGAAAAACAAAGACGTCCTTGGAGAATTTGACTACTAACTTTATACCAAAATGTCCTTGTTCTTCATATCATTTCTTCTGGGGATGTTGGGTCATTTTAACCACTGCATCTTTTGCTCCTGCATTAACCACTTTCCAAAAACAAGAAACTGACTTGGTGTTGGGAATGTGACATTTTTATTTATTTTTATATATATACATATATGATATATATATATTTATATATATAAATATATAATACAATCCAAAATCCTAGACCTAACACTTCTTAAGGGATGATTCTCATTAACTAGGCAAGGATCTAGAGACTTTGGGTTCTACTCTGTTCCAGCTGGTATAGTGCTGTGGGTTTACTTCTGTTCTGTATGCCTCAAACATTGGAAACAGAAAATTGTGAATGATCTGGCTTCCTCCAGTGGGTTTACATTGAGACATGTGGTCCAGAGTTAATGGAAAGGACCAGCGAGCTCAAAACATCTTGCCTAAATCATGGAGTAATCCTACACTGCTGTGGGCTGCCAAGTCACAATTTTCTGAAGTATCTGGCTGTTCTGGGGTGGGGCTTCAGGCTTCTTGACTATTTTTAATGTTTCTAGGTTATGGTTTCAAAGGGAAATGTTGTGAAATATTCAAGATGTAATTTTGTAAAAACTGAAAACTCAGTTCTGAAAAGGCACATACGCGTTTTTTAACACATTCTAGAGGCTTTTTAAAATTTGTGTTCTAAATCTACCAGTGTTAGTCTCGTAAGTCACTAGAGTGAAACTGCTACAGCTAGTGAGTATTACAGCCAGACTTGTAATGAAGCTGATTTCTTGAGATGAGCTGTGGATAAAATTGAAGCTAATGAGGTTGTTTGAGTGAGAATAGAGAAGCTAAGTTTAAGTTACTGCTGCCGAGGTAGCCTGTTGAGGTATTGCTGCTGCTTGCTACTCTTCAGCGCGTTCTTGTCTTGACTATCATTTTTGTATGTATAAAATTGTATATTAACGTGGCAGGCTTGGAAGTCAAAGAAATGCAGAAGCATTTACAGTAAACTTACCAAAACATTGGTTTTCATGTATTGTAGCAGCACTCAAGCATTACCAGGTGGCTTTAGTCAAAATAGCTATCCAAAAATGTAGCACTTTTTCATTATTCTGGATGAAGTAAAGGATCTACTGGCCTTTCGAAGACTCAGTCTGAAATGGTTTCTTGAGGAAAAAAAAATTCCTTAGGGTACCATTAAATGTCAGACTTTTTTTGTGGCATAAAGAGTCCAACTTGTTTTGCTGGTGCCAACAGGTATTACAGCACTGAATGCTGTAAACCGGTTCCTTCAGCTGTAACACCAGTACTTTGCAGACTTGGTGATTAAGCACCCAAGCTTAGATTGCTTCCTGAAATACAGAAGCTCTGGCTGGAGTTTAGAACCCACTACTGAATCCAGCCCGATGGTGGGATGTGGAGAGGCTGGCTGTCAGAGCAGGAGGAAATAATTTGTGCAAAAATGTGGATTCTTCACAACAGCTCATGTTTAAAATGAAGGTCTTTATGATGATCTGTAAACGGATGCTGCCCTGAAAATCAAGTTATATGCACTCGAAATACTGTTTTGCCAGTGAAGTATTCTGAGGTTTAATGTGCCACTCTCCTGGCTTAGGTGGTCCCTGACCAAGTGCTATGCTCTGAATGAAGAAAATGTCATTACAATGATTATCTGCCTCCACTCTGGTGATGATTTAGTGACAGCGTGCAAAGCTGCAGCTGACTGACAAGCAAGAGTAACGGGGAGGCTGTCTTGCAATTGAACCTCATAGACCATTCCTGTTTCTTGATGAACCTTCCTCATGGCCCTGTCCTTCAGTAACAGGCCTATCACTATAGCGATGGAGAAAGTTGTTTGTCTAGCAGAATTTCGTCGGCTCTTGCTCAGAGTACCAGCCATCTGGGGGAATGACTCCCTCCCTCAACATGAAGAACAGGCTTGTGACCTTTGGATCGATCAGGCTGTAGTGTCAGCAAAGCATCAGTGCTTGTCAAATATCTGAAGACTTCTTCAACTTTCTAGAATAGTTAGCTTAGTCTCTTCATCAGAGTAAAGATTCTGGATTTCTAAAATCCTACGTGCCTTTTTGTGGAAAATACTGCCTGTTAGTGAAGATTTTTTTTAAACATCTAAGCTCAAGCAGGAGGCTGCATGGCTTATGTTGCTGTCACATTGAAGATTAGTGAAATATCTTGTTTATTTTTTCCATAGTTCAGTTAAATTCTCATGTTGTTGTTGCGGCAAAGCCTATACTGAAGTGGCTTAAAAGGCTTCACGGTATCACATTACACCCCTCTGGTAACCATATCCAGTTTAATGAGAGTTCTGGAAATAGCACTTTACAGGTGCATTTATTGGCAAAAATCTTAACGTATACTGTATAAAATGCAAGTGCTATTGAAGATGTGCATCTTGGGAGTGGAGCAGGTAGAGTGTGAAGTCTTAATTCTTTCAAATAATGTCCAGAAACTTAAATGACTTGGATTGTTTGGATAGTGTGCTCATTTACAGATATTCCTGGCTGCCTTAACTCAGATCCATATTAGACCATCTCATTGAGTCCTATAGGTTATTCAGGCTCAAAATTCTGTTTCATTCCAGGGTAGCCTGTTCTGTCAATCGCCTTTTTTCTTTTTTTTTTTTTCCCTGTTCCTCTCTGGAATGCTGTGCAGTGTCTTTTGTAACAGCAAGATCAGCTGGTTTTGAACTTGGGAAAGGTGAACTGTTTCAACAGACAGAGCTTCTCTGCTGACTCTGTGAAGTTTAACTTTGAATGTCTTGACAGTGCAGCAGTTGTTCAGGTGTGATTTGTAACAGTGCTTACAGTCAGCTTCCCTCAGTCATAAAACTGACTCAAGCAGTCAATCTCCAGGATGAAGTCTATCAGTTCCATTTTTTAATTCTCTTCAGTGTAGAATCCTGTAAGCCCATCAGCAGTCCCATTAGCATTCGCTGGATGCCTATGGTTGTGGCAGTATTTGTCAGAACAGACTTAGTTCACTACTTGAGACTTGGCCAGTTGACAACTAAATACTTTTCACTGCTTGTGTTTGCAGCCACTTAATAGAGAAAAAGTTGGAACACTTCTGAAGTAGAAGAGCTTCTTGGAGTATGACAGTGTAGTTACTCTTCCACCGTTGATCAGATCTGCACCTATAGTAATAGTAAAGCAATTTGAGTATTGCTCATAGAATCATAGAGATTATAAAAGTTTGGAGACAAGAAGTGATCAATGTGCAGATTTGAGCTGGCCCAATACATAGTGAAGATTTGTTAGAGACATGCTGGCATAAACTCTTCAGCATATTCTTCATACTGGTGCAGTCTTGTGTGCTACATGAATGTCTCAACATGTCATTTGACAGCTGTGGTTGGGAACACTTGTATGTAGTCTTAATAGGACTTGCAAGGATGTTGTGGGTTGAATCCATTTCCCTATTGCTCCCCATAGAGTTGGGTGTTCTCTTGCCCATAATACCTTGGATTTGAGATGTTCTAACAAATAGTAGCATATAATTTTTAGCGTGTCCTTTGTCCTCAGGTTCAGGATCCCATTTTCATTTGAAATGTCCAGGCTTCTAAAGCAATGAGTTGATCTGTTTCTTTCCACACTGGGAGCACACTCCTCCTTTGTTGACTTAGTTTTGGCTGCTTTGATGGAGAAAGTGGTTCAAATGATGAATCAATGTTCACTGCTGAACACATTAAATGGAAAAACAGTTTAACTTTTGGTTGTATGCATGAAGTAAGGGTTACAGACAACTTTATGCCAGTGGATCTAAGGAATCACTGGGGTTTCTGTGAGAATTTGTACTCAAGTGGAAATGACTGTCTTAATTCTGGTGCAGGATTTTTTTTTTTTTTAGAATTGCTAGTGCTGTATAAAGAGACTTGTCCTTCAGTGCACTAAGCTTGGGTTCAAACAAAGCTATTGAATCGCTTCTAAATTACCTATAGTCTATTCTGGAAGAGTTAAAGCTGTCTCCTTAGTACTGTCCAGATCACATTTTGATTGAATGTCAAGCTGTGTTTAAAAGTTGTTTGCACTTGCTTCTCTCTGGATGACGACACAAGCTATAGCTGAGGTCAGCTTTGTCTGTGTTTCACTCCGAAGAGATTTCTGTTGCAAAAACTCAGAGCTATTGCTCAGATGAATTCATACATCAACAGAATACCATGCTGTTTGGAGGGCATCCAGAACGGAAATTTGCTTGGCAAAGTAGTCTTTGGTTGAGACTCCTGTTACCTCTTTAAAGCACTACCTGAGTCACCAGAAATGAGTATGTAAGCAGTCACATGAAGACTGGCTTAGCTTGCAGTAACTGGTTCTTTGAGATCTGTGTATGTATTCCTTTACTCTCCCTTTTCCACAATGTCTTGAACTTGTCATTTGGAGTTCTCAACCTTAAAAGAATTGTTCTTGACCACCCCCCTTCCCCTGACACAAGTTGTTTCACTTGTCCTTCCAAGGATGGAAAGTACGCTGTGTTCCTAGTCACTTTCAAAGGTTTTCACTTCTGTTCTGGTTGTCCAGAGCATCACACATGCAAGCATGTGGTGAACACCAGTTACTGTAAGGTAAGTTGTTCCTTTTCCTTTTCCTTCTGTGTGACGCTGCTGTACTGTGTCTCTGAAGAGCACCACTGCAATCAGATGACAGTTTGACATTCAAGGATATAAACATAAGACATTGCAGACAAGTAGAAAACAATCCTATGAAATTACACCCTGCTTCCCAGTGGCAGTAACACATCTCGTTTTCAAACTGTTGGTCTGAATTCCTGTTGGAGGAATGTGGCATCCAGCTGGTGCATAAGCCTGTTTTCCAGTGCAGCAGTAGGTGTGAGTGACAGTGCGTGTTTGAGCTAAAGGGTGGTGACAAATGCTGGTTAGCTTTGGAAATGGACACTAGGAACTCTGCAGTTCTGAGACGGAGCAGCATTTTCCCCTTTGAATGACCATAACTGATGTTTGATTCTCCTAATGTGAAGGCTGTTTCTCGTTTTCATCCCGTATCAGTAAGTTGCCCTTGTGTTTATCTTGCAGGTTTCTGAGCATGGCGAGGATGGGACAAAGCAGAGCAGATTGGAGCAGGACTTGTCACTCCCCAAATCCTAGAAATTTTAGTTCATACGTACACTTGCCAGTTGCTGTGGGCAACCGTTTACTTGGTGTAAAGAACTTAATATCAGTATAAACTGGCTCTGGGCAGTGTCAGTGATGCTGCACTTTGAGTTGTAGCAGCTGTAATTGTGAATATTACTGAGATAGTGAAACATGGTGTCCAGTTTTCTATTGCATTTTTTCAAGTGGAAAAGTTAACTAATGGTTGACACACAAGTGGAGAAAATTGTGCATATGCCAATTTTTGTTACCTTTTTACTTTGAACTACACTGCTTATGAGATCTCATTGTTTTGGAAGAATGGCATGAACAGTCTTCGGCAACAGTTGTGATAATTGTAAATCCTCACAATTGTGCACTCTTTTCTGGTTATTCCTCCCTGGGTTTTGAAAGTTGTACACTTAAAACATTCTTAAAGTTGTTGGCTTCTATGTGCAACATACCAAGCCAGCTGACATGGTAGTAACCAAAGATTCCAGTTTTTAAGCGTATGAAAGACTCTGCCTGCTTACCTGTGCTAGAAATAACAGCATCTAAAGTGAAGACTTAAGAGAAACTTAGCGACTACTAGATAATCTTTAGGACTCTGCATTAACTCTATAATGTTCTTGGTATAAAAGGAAAAACAGCATATTTGTCACAAAATTTAGTTAACATCTTACAACTGAACCTGTATGTAAGTTGCTTAGATAAATGTAATCACTGTAAACATCTATATGATCTGGGATTTTGTTTTTATTTTGAAGCGGGAGCTTTTTTGTTTACAAGTTCATTAAAAACTAAAAACTGTTTCTGTAAGGAAATGAAATTTTTTTTAATTTACCTTGTTAATTCAGTTTAAGAAATCTACATTACCCTGTTTTTAAACCAAGTTTCAAGGCCATTTGTTAAGCAAAAGAAGTCATATTTCTTTCTAAATCATTTTAGTGTTGTAACTCTTCCTCATTTTGTTTTTAAATAAATTTTGTATTTTTTCCTTGAGGGGGAAGGGGCAGTCTTGCATTTTTATAACTTGTTGTTTGAGACCAGCCCTCTATACTAGATTGGATTTTTTTAAAACAAAATGGCATCTTTTGCAGACCCGGCATTGGCAGCCTCCGAGCATTGCCATGTCATGCATCGGCTGGACTGACTTGTGATTGCTAGTTTTAAGAAAAATTTGAATGGTTTTAAACCAAGGCATTTTCTTTCAAGTTCTTGTGAAGTGGATATGACCAGATTTACTCTTGTTCTTGGGGACAGCCTCACACCATGCAGAGTTCACATTGATTACTGCCCCAGGCTGTCTTCCTTCTCACTCCTATTCTAGCCCAGCTGAAAGAAAGAAATACTTTTATTGCTGGTAATTCTTTAACAGTGTAATTTATTCCTTTATAGCATGTCAGAATAAATTAAAAAAATGTCTGAAAATGCTGCCACATGCCTATTGTGTAAATGTTGTTTGTATGTTAGCTTTTTAGACAGTTTCCATGCATGTAAGCAGAGTTCCTGCTCACACTTCATATTTTTACTGTTTGAAAAGGTCTTTCATTTTGAAAACAGTTTCTTCAAGATCATAATACTTACACTGTGCACTCTGTCGTCACGGAGTGGTAATCTGGACCAAGGCCGCACTCGTGCGCGGTCACTATGCATACTCGCTTTACGAGAAGGATCTGCCCTGAGAAGACGTTAAACTTTAGCTGGAGAACACTGTGTGCTAATAAACAGTTGTTTAGATAACCTGGGAGTACAGGGAGGCAAAACGTCTGCCAGGCTTTAGAGATACCAGTGCGCATTTGGAAACTTCTGAGTCAGAGCGGTCTGTTACCTGGAAGGTGGAAGAAGAAATGTAGTTTATTCTTCTGGCTGGGATGTTTTCCTAGGCTCTGAGTCCAAATAAGGATGCTTTACAAGCAGTGCCTCCTATGAAAACTGGTATGTTTAAGAACTGGCATCTAGAATACTGTGTTATGTCCTTACAAATGATTTCTACTGTCTGGGCAACGCGTCTTGACAACATGCATTGGCAGAAGGGGAGGAAGCATCAATGAAATGCCTTCTTGGCAGCTGTTCTCAGAGTGGCTGCTTGGAATCGTTTTGGCACCAGTTTTCTTGCTTTGACATTAGGTATTCAAAAGTCGGAGGAAATAATTTGGTTTCAGGAGAAGAAATTATTTCCTCTGTCCATTAAATTTACTCATGACTTTGAGGAGGGTTGTCAAATTTTAGAAACAACTGCCCTTGATAAGCAATGTAAGCAAGAACAGTTCATATGCTTGGAATGTCAAAACTGAGAGGTTTGTAGTTCTTGCAACTGCAAGCCTTGTCCTGTGGAAGAGCTTGGAGTCCAGCGAGTCTTTCAATAGAGTTTATTTCTGCACAGAAGTGTGAGCTTAGACTGTCAGCTGTGTTTAAAACCAGCCTGCACCAGACATGCTGAACAGCGAACAAGATGGCAACCTTCCTTAAAGAGATGCTGTGATACTGAACACTCATTTGCTGTGTAATCCATTTGGTTTGTAACAGACTTAAAACTGAAAGCATTAAAAACTATGTGGATCTTGACTTCTGGTTGCAGCTCTGCAAAGGTTGTGTTGGGAGGTTTATCTGCTGTCCTGATGCAAAGTCAAACTTCTGCAAACAATCCCAGGCCCTTACAAGTAACCATCATTGTAACAGAGTCCATAAAGCGCAAGAACTACAGCCTCATGCTCCCTGGAAAGTGCTAGAATTCAGGTAATGACATTAGGCTGTGACAACTGGTTCTTCGTTGTCTGACTAAGCTGCATACAGGGTTTCAAAGCAATTTATTATCCTCCTTATAAGAACAACTGAGAGGTGTCCTAAAGCCACCTTTTAAAGGATTGCTCAATTTGGAGCATGGATTTGCTTGTATGTGCAGCATTACTGGTTCATTATTTTTAACCTATTTAAGCCATTCCTGTTAGAAGCAATTGAGAGCCTTTTCCTCTCCTGACATAAAAGGCTCTGAAAGAAGGACAGACTGCTCTAGGTTTCAGTTCTTGGTAACATCAGTAATGTCACTCTCACTGCCTTGTCCACTATTCTGTGTGGTGGTGGGTATTCGTAGTAAGTGACAAATTCAAGCCCTGGCTGTGTTGAAAACACTGTTGGTCTCTGAAAGCCAGACATGTTTCTAGCCCATCCAGTGTGTCTCATCCTAATTTATTTTTTGCTGATCTCTATTGAGTTCTAGCTGGGGATTATTTTTCAACCTAATGTGTCAACTTGCTCTGCTGTTGCATTGTTCTGCCTGTTGTTTCAGTTAGCTTTTTCAGGTGCGTTCCTTACAACTTGCAAGAACTTGAATGTGCTTTGTGTGCTGTGCTTTTCCTAAAACGGACTGCAGCAGAGGTGGAGGCACCTAGGACATAGCTGTGCTACTTGGAGCAGGAGGTTGGGCCAGACGCCTCCCTGCAGTCCCTCCCAGCTGGAATTTTTCTGTGATCTCAAGTTGGCTTTTTGCATAAGGCTTTAATGTCTCTTGACAGCATTCTCCAATTTAGAAGATTTGTTGTTTAGCCAGCTCCATCAGCCCCATCTGCTCCTTACTTAATCGCAGTGAAATTATGATTTCATATGAGCCTGATGTCGTAAGACAAGTTTATGAGCACGGCAGGCTCCAGACAAGTGAGCTGGGAGGAAGAGCTGTCTGCTCCGAGCACTAATGGCTCTGGAAACACGAGGTGAGAGACCGTGCAGAGGAAGTGCCCACCCTCCTAATTGGGCCTGAGTGGAAGGACTGCGTTCATGGCATGTTCTAATGTGGAAATGACTCTTGAATGTAATCCATGTTATCCTGGGCTAAACAGGAAGGGGAGAGGGTGGTACCAGGTCTGTATGCAAAGAATTGAGATTGTGCTAGGACACAAGGACATTCATCGTTGTCAGCTGCATTATCGAAGCGTTTCAAAACAGACCCAAGACTGTGGTGTCCTTAACCATGAAGGAAAGGGGATGTGTTGGGGGAAGGCTGTGTCTGAAACACAGGACCATGTCCTTGTTTTTAAAGGAACCACAGTGGGCTCAGCTGCTTTGCAAAGCTCAGTACTAAAGGGATGAAGTCTTTTCAGTTAAGATGCTAACTTGACTATTTGCATCTTGTGAGATGTTCTTAGATGTGACTGTTGCTAGTGCTGAATTCAGGTAGCTGGAAATTGGGAGGAGCTAGGGAGTATTCTCACACCAGGCTCAAGAGATAGGTGTACAAGTATTTTTGTCCATAAAATAACTATCAAGGTGATGCAGCTTCTTTTTCAGAGAGCAGCATGGCATTTTGACATTGGGCTGCTTCTGGAAGTACCTGACCACACTCAGTCTTAGCTCTTCTGTTTTCCCTCTCTAGTAGTCTTTGGTTCCTGTTGATAATGCAGGTTGTTTTTTTGTAAACACAGCTGGCCTTAATTTCTGTTCTCTCACTGAGTTTGAAGGATGGTATCAATTGTATAGCTGGCAGAGAAGCTCTTTCAGAGCTGCTGCGTGCACAGCTTGTGTCCCAAAGAGCAGGCTCCTGCCCGTGCTGCTCCCTGTTCTCTGCCACCCTGGAAATAATAGTGAGCCTTGAGCTACTTTGCAGGTGACAGACTTTGAACTTTTTTTTTTTGAATGAAAGCAATTTGAGATCATCAGAAGACCTTGAAGGAGTGTACCTGCTGTCATACAGGGCAGACTGGCTTTTGAGCTTTCCTTGTTGCAGTCACAGCCCCTCCATGTAATGAGCCTTGTCCTTTACAGCCCTGTGAACACACAGGGCAGGTGCTGGACTCAGCACAATTCAGATAACCGGCAAAGGTGAAGCAGTGGTACTGGCATGACTCAGCTGTGCTTTGTGGGACCTCATGGTCCACCAGACCAGGGGCATGATGAACAACTCTTCCCGTTCTTGCACCTTGGATCAGTCCCCCATCTGTCGCTGTGGTATGTGCCGATGCCAAAGCAGCACAATGGGACTTTTCCATGTGAGACTGTCAGATGTGTTTAGGTGAGAACACCAGGCTCTAAGGCTGGTCTCCTTGGCGTAGCTCACCCTGATGTCTGTCTGCGTCGCTCTTGCTGCTGCACATGCTTCTTTCATTTTTGTACACCAACTGGTAACTGCGCTTCTCAGCAGCATGAGTAATTTTAAAGATCCTTGAGCCCATCTCTGTGTAACTACAAGGAGTGATGTTTGGCAAGTCCTTCCGTCCCCAGGTAGATACAGCTGGCTGACCCTAGGACCAGCTTGGGGCTTGCAGCTTGCTCTGGTATTCAAAAGCAATTCGTCATTGCTGGCCTGCAGCTGGACCAGCCTGGCTGGCCTCTGCTGACACGATTTGCCAGATCTCCATCTGTTGGCAGCTGTTGTAGGGCTTTGCCCAGGTCGGGCAGAGAGGAGCAAAGAAGCGTTTGCTGGCCGTGGTGTGCAGGCAGGGGCAGTCGAGCAGAGAGGGAAAGCCAGAAACTGGTGTGAATCCTTCAAGCAGAGAAAAATCACTTCGGGAGCAAATAGATTTGTTTTTGTGTGCCGAAGGCTTCCCCTGGCACAGCTCTGACTTGTGCTGATCTTGTTCCTCTTCACGGCTGCTGGTGTGGCAGCAGCTGGTGTTCCAGGACTGTTTGCAGCAGGCGTGTCTGGGTCAGGGTTACCTGGTGGGGCGAAGCCTGCGAACAGCATCAGGAGTGTTTGCACAGTGCAGCGTGTGTCCGTATTCCTTCAGGGCCGGCACTCCTATGACATGAGTCAGACCTCAGTAACTCCTGCTGCATGGCCCTGTTTGAACAGCAGGTATGGCCAGAAACTCCTGCTGAGTCATATCCTGGAAGGGCTCCCTTCCTTCCTGAGACCCCTTTCTTCTGAGGGGGGAAAGGTGAGGACCCCACCTGTGGCCACTCTTGCCCTGTGCTGCCTGGAAAGAATTAATTGATGCCTTTTATTAGATGGGCTCGTGCTGCCATGGCCCTGCTGCACTGCTGGTGTCTGGGTAACCGAGGAGCATCAATGCACCCTGTTGGTGTTGCTCCCCCGGCGTGGGAAGGTGTGAAAGCTGAGCTGATGTGGTCGTAGCGAGTTTCTGGCTGGTTCGCCTGAAGCTGTTAACAAATCCCATAAACTGATGACGGGCATAAGTCACTGCTTGGTGACAGCTTTTTACATTGCACCTCTTGACCTTGCCCGTACCTGCTGGCAGGGGGCTCCCGGCCGCGGGACCGTGCAGGTGGGATGTGAGCTGGGCACGGAGCTGCACTCTGCCCGCTGCCGGCCAGGGCTGGCTAGTGTGCCAGAAAAAAGGTAGCGTGTTCCCAGGAGGCAAAGCAGGGCCTTGGGAACTCGATGCTGATTGGAAATGGCTTGTTTTTGCTTCCCGACGTGCAAACAGCTCACAGGGTCCCATCTGGGCTGCGCTCAGCCTTTCCTGGTGAAAGACTGTTGG